AGAATTCAGGGGAGAAGACAGGACTGAAAATAAAATTTTGGGAGTTGTCAGTGTACCCATGCTATGTAAAGCTATGTGACTAGATGAAATGAAGGGAATGAGCATAGACAGGGACAATATTCAAAGGCTTAAACACCTAGGGCACCCCTACCAACCAGAAAAGGAGACTGAGAAGGAGAAGCGAGGCAGGAGGAAAAGGATAATGTTGATAAGCTGAGAACAGACTGCGTGCTTGAGAGAACAATTCACGTCAGTGAGGTACCTGGGAGGGAATTCATTTGCTGCAGTTAGGTAAACGTTAGGAAGAGGCTACTAAGATAAGCAAGGATATGATAAAATTTTCTTTAAAAGTAAAATTTTAATAACATAATATTGAATGAGTTCTATTTTCTACCAAAACAAACAGAAAAGAATGATAATCAAGTTAGAGCAAGTTTTCTCAAACACGGCCAGAGCAAGAACCCATGACACATCCAGGAAGAAGAGAATGAGCCATCTCCAGAGGTACAGAATGACGTCCTGGCCTGCACCCCTGGCCACCTTTTCCTTTGAAGGATCCTGAACGGTCCCCTTCAGGGAGCTAGCTTCTCCATAGCTACCTCACTTATGCATAAGTTTATCTCCTCTTTTAATAAAGCATTGTTTGCTCTAAAATAAAATAAAATAAGATTTTAAACATTTAAATTTATTCACATATATGTAAATAGACGCATATTTTTCTTAAAACAAGNACCTGAGGGTACAAACCAGACTACCTGGTGACTCGCTGCTTTCTTCATTCTTTAGCTCAGTACTATGTGCACAGCCTGTTAGTATATATTTGACTGAATAAATGGTTAAAGAGATTATTTATTCACCCATTCTACAAATATTTACTGAATACTTAATATGTTCAAAGCACTGTTTGAGGCACTAGGAAAAAATAAATGAACCATACAGATGAAAATTCCCCTTCGTGGGACTTACATTCTAGAGGGAGAGAAACAGAATTTTTTTCCTAAAGTAAGCTATATTTAATATTAGAAGGCGCTAAGTGCTATGGAGAAAAATAAAGCAGGGAAGGAAAATGAGGAGCACGAGGGTACTTCATAAAGTCTGTGAAAAAATAAAACTGAAAGATAATACTAATCCTTCCGTGAACTTTTTAAAGTACCTGGTATAAGTTGTGATTTTTTTTTTTTTCCTTTTTTTTTTGTCTTTTTTACTGACTGGTAACGGGATCGCAACCCT